TTTAAAAAATGGTAAATTTCATGATTTCAGCTATTTAAACCTGTAATTGTAGGGGTCCTGACCCAAGAAAGAGTTGGGAGGGGGGTTTGCAAGGTTATTGTAGGGGGCGGGTTGCGGTATTGCTACCCTTACTTTTGCACTGCTGCCTACAGAGCTGGGCCCTCAGTCAGCAGCCGCCACTCTCTGGCTGCCCAGCTCTGAAGGCAGCAGCACAGAAGTAGGGATGGCCTGGTATGGTGTTGCCACCCTTATTCCTGCGCTGCTGCTAGTGGGGCGCTGCCTTCAGAGCTGGGCACCCGGCCAACAGCCGCTGCTCTCCGGCCGCCCAGTTCTGAAGGCAGTGCAGAAGTAAGGGTGGCAATACATGACCCTCCTAAAATAACTTTGTGACCCCCCCCTACAACTCCCTTTTGGGTCAGGACCCGCAATTTGAGAAACGCTGGTCTCCCTTGTGAAAGCTGTATAGTATAGGGTAAAAGCACACAAAAGACCAGATTTCACAGGGGGAGACCAGATTTCACGGTCCATGACGAGTTTTTCATAGCCGTGAAATAGGTAGGGCCCTAATTATAGGCAGAGCTGTTAGCACCATCGTTAGTTAAGCTTGCTTGACACTTCCCATTGTAAGAGACCGTTTTTAGCTGCTTATAACTTTCCCAAACTTTAACTGTGTTTGGGCTGAAAATTTCCATTCTGGGCATCTGCCTCAGGCCTCATCTGTTTCCAAGAACAAGGTTAAGGAAAAATATATATTTTTTTTCTGTATGAAAAAATATTCTTCTGTTTTGTTGTGACGCTAGAGAGACTCCATGCTGTGGAGCAGGGATTTGAAATTCAGCAGGGGGTCGTCGTGCTGTTAAGGGTGTGTCTTTTGCCATCTGCCCAAATTATAAAGCACTGAAAAATCTTTGTTTGCACATACTCAGTAGAGGCTTGTTGGAGTTTGGCAGCTACATTCTGTGAAGATTCCATTCGCACTGAACATGCGCCAGTCCAAGGCTGGAGGAACTGAGCAGGACTTTCCCTGCAGTTGCTTCTCTTGGCTGCTACAGCTCACAGTGGCATTGGGTACAGGAAGGGAGAGCAGTGAGATTGGCTCCTGTGCTCTGAATGCGACCCCTGCTGGTGCCCAGGCAACGAGGAGGGAGAAGGAGCCTGAATGGAGTACAGAGCCGCAAGAGCCTGTCTTGTGGGGTGGGGTCAATGGAAGGAATAGGTTAGGAAAAGGAGCTTCATAGGAGACTGGGACTGGAAGATGGAGACAAGAGGTGAGGGGGAAACTAAGACTGGCTGGGCAAGGAGACTGGGAGTAGGAGCTGGTGGGGAACATGGGCAGGCAGATGGGTGAGAGACTGGGGGCTTATGTGTTGGGAAGGGGAGGACTGAGAGTAGATAAGGAGCTGTGGGGAAGAGACCGGGACTGGCTGGGCAAGATGACCTGGCCTGGGACCAGGAAAGAAGAGAGACTAAGAAGAGACAAGATGCCTGGGCTAAGGCAGAGAGAGAGACAGTGCTGATATAGGGACAGGCTGGAGGGGATATGGGCAAAAGGGGTCAGGTCTGGGGGGAATGGGGCAGAAGGGTCTGTGCCCACTAGAGCACACTCCACTACAGAACTTGGAATGGAACCATAGATTTCCTGAGTCTCACCATTCCTCTGCTGTCAGCAAACATTTGTGAAATGCACTGGTAGAGTGTGCATCTAATCTCCCTCTAGTGCTGGACCTGGTCCACGTAGCAGATGACAACCTACTAGTGCTGTCAGGTACTCCAGTCAAGGAGCAGATGCCCGTGCTTGGATCTCAAATTCCAACCCTGCTGATGGCTGATTATGTATCAGATTGGAAATAACCAGTAATTTATTCCCACCCTGGCACTACAGCGTCTCAAATTTCTTGGTCCATTGCGATAGCAAAAATTCAAATGGTGCTTATACCCTGTAAGTGACACAGGGGAATGGGTGGTGTTTTAGTTGAATGATTCCTGTTAGTCGGGCCCCTGGCTATCTTTGCTCACTGTCTGAAACTTGATAGTCACATCTCTTTGCTCTCAGTTTTAGTCATGGGAGTGGGGAATGATTCTAGCTCTCTCTCTCTTTCAAGGTTTTTACTGGTGCCTCTCGCAGTTTCAGGGTTAACTGCACCTGTGACCTACCACCTGGGATTCCTCGAGGGCACGCTCTTAAGCTTTCCGGCTCCCAGCGTCACCTCTCTCAGTCAGAGGCCCCTGTCTCTCTCCCTCCAGACCAGGGGTTTCACAGCCCCTCTGCTCCTCACTGTGGTTTCCTCAGCAGGTTTGACAGGGTCCCATCCAGCCCCTGTGGGTAACCTCTCTCCAGGGGCTAGAACAGGGTACAGCAGTTACCAACCAGCCTTCACACAGCAAACTGCTTTTCTTCTTAGGGTAAACGCTTTACAGAGAAAACATCTAAAAACAATAAAATGACTTACACTCGTGCTGAAAGCTTACTAGGGATCACCCCTCTCCAACTTAGGGCTTTGGTAGGTGTCGGTCTTTTCAAACCCCACAATTGGGTTTACCCACTTGGTTACAAGTCCATGTCAGTTTATAGGTCAGGAACAAGATCCCTGACTGGACAGTTCAGCTGTTTAATTTTAATATAGCTTGGGCCCTATGGGAACAGGCAATCAATTTGACAGCTTCCCCTGGCTACTAATCTAAAATGGATCCATCAGTGCCAGAGGCACTGTTATGTCTGTGGGTGGCTGTGAGCTTGTTTTGTGAGAGTGCCAGCCTTGAGTGCTTTCCCTCTACATTTCCCTATTTGATTTCCGTCGTACACTGCCTTCATTCAACCACATTCTGTCCCCGCATATACCAGTGCAAGGGCAAAGGGAATCACTGCTTTCCCCTTCTGAATGCTTATCATTTAAACAGCACCATTGTTGTATAAAGTGGGAGTAAAACTGCCTTCAGTGAGTCAGGTTTTCACTTGAAAACTAGAGCCAGTGAGGATAGACTGCTGCAAATGAGAGCAGAATTGGGTCTTTCATGTGTTCTTGCAGCCCTGTGTATTCTGCTCCAGCCTGTGAGCTGGCACCTCAGTGGGATATGTACAGTGGGACAGTTGTGTGCCTCCTCCACTCCCTGCACCTAATGGGGGATGGGGGACACTGTTCACATGGATACACCTGTTGCTACCGCACCAAGAAACAAGCCACCTGAATTCTGACCTATCAGTTAGTGAGTTGCACACTGTATGGGTCACTACTGATTGCAGAATCTCGGTTTTGATTCACCCTCTGTGTGGATGTAAATTGACTCCTCTAAACCAGATTTACGCCCATCTTGCACTACAGGCACAGAGGACCTGATCCTTTATACCACAGGAAACCCACTGAAGTTACTCTTCTTATTTTTTACACTGGTGTGTAAAAAGTGAGAGGAAAGTGATCATCAGCTTACATAAGAATGGCCATACTGGGTTAGACAGTCCATTCAGTCACCTATTCACTTACCTTTTCTGGGTTGATGGAGAGAAGGGAGGACAAACGAAAGGAGCACATGGGCAGAATGCTGCTGGGTTAGTGATCTGATACGCATGGAGCAGGCTGGGCTGTGATTTTGGGAGTACCAGAAGTGAATGTATTGCATGTGCTATGTGATTATCCATGGGCCACGGTGCTCCAATCCAAAAATGTCTGCGAAATCCATAGCTAAGGAAAGAGTGAATCAGTCAGTGGCTGAATGGATAGAATGAGAATATTAGTAGACAGATGGCTAGTGTTATGTGTTGGATAGAGGGAAGGATGTAGTGAACAGAGTAGATGGATAGAAAAGATAAGGAGGTGTGGATAGAAGGATTGTTAGGAGAACAGATAAGTAGAGAATGCAGAGTAGTGGATAATGGGAGGGTGAATGGGGAAGAGAGAAATGGAGAAGAAGTTGGACAGATAAAATAAGTGAATAAACGGGGAGGAGGGAACAATGAATAGAAGGGAAAGCCATCTGGAGAGAGCTGGTGGGTGGAGGGTGGAGTGGGAGGGTGAATGGCTGCCTATAGAGTATGGGATTGCGAGGATTTAGGGCTTGTCTACACTTACAATGCTGCAACTCCACCGCTGTAATGGATCAGTGAAGACACTGCCATCTGTAGTAAATCCTCCCTGAGAGGCAGTAGCTAGGTTGATGGGAGAATTTTTCTATCAACCTAGTGCTGTCTGCATGGGGACTTAGGTCGGCTTAACTACGTTGCTCAGGGGTGTGGATTTTTCCACCCGTGAGAGTTGTAGCTATGCCAATATAACTTTTCAGTGTAGACCAACCCTCAGAGATTACCTACCCAAGAACTAAAACCGAAGAAATGAAACCAGTCCTAGTTCACCCTTTTCCTTAATCTGGCACTAGGCTGTGTGTGGGCACTCTGATTTCAGATGGAGATTTACCTATTTCAATTTAGCTTCAATTTGTAAAAATAATAATAAAATAAAACTATAAGTTTAGAATATCCTATTATGAGGCAATTCTTAGAAATAAAGTAACATTTTTCAGGTAAACTTCCCCTCAACTATTGCCCAAACTAGAGCTGGGCAAAAACTTTTTTAGCAATTAGTAAATTCACAGAAAAGTGCATTTTGGGGGGCACCAAACTATTTGAGTTCATGTCCAATTCCGCAAATAGTTTTAAACAAAAAAATCCCTGAAAACAAAAATTTTGGAAATGTCAAAATGAACCATTTGGTTTGGAATTGACACTTTGTTTCCAAATATTGTTTCATATTGATGTTCAAAATTGCATTTGACCCATTTTCAGTTTTTCGTTTTGTTGAGAACCCCCCTCCAAAATCCGTTATGGTTCTAAGTGACTCAGTTTTTTTCAGATGTAGTCCAAACAAGCTAACAAGACAGGCTCGCAACTCAGACAGAGAAGGAGTATGAGGACCAGCTAGTCTTGGGAGACCTCTTCTCCACTGCACTAGTCACCTGGTGGTCTGGAGGCAGGCATGGTCCTCACCTTCCTCCTGCCTCTGTCTCCTCAGGTGTTCTCCATTGTTGTCTTCGGCTCCATTGTGAATGAAGGTTACCTGAACAGCCCCAGTGAGGTGGAGGAGCATTGTATCTTCAACCGCAACCATAACGCCTGCAACTATGGCATCACCGTGGGCGTCCTCGCCTTCCTCAGCTGCCTTCTCTACCTGGCTCTGGATGTCTATTTCCCACAGATCAGCAGCGTCAAGGACCGCAAGAAGGCAGTGCTCTCGGACATCGGCGTCTCTGGTGAGCTTCCTGGCTGGTTGGCATAGAACCCCTTTCCTCAGGGAGTTGAGCTGAGGGAAGGAGCCTGTCTTATTTCATAAGCTAGCTGGCCAGATATCCCTGGAACAGGAGCTCTTTGACTGGTCTCCTTCCTTGTCCCCCCTCACCTTGTCCTCTTTTCCTCTGCCCCCTTCTTACGCCCACTCCTCTTTTTTCCTCTTCTCCTCTCCCTCTCTTCTTTCCTTCTCCTTCCTCTTCTTGTCCCCTATCCTCTCCTTCCTCTTAACTCATCATCTTTTTCCCCCACCCTCCTCTCATCCTCTTCCTCTTTGCCCCGTCTCTCTTTGACCTCTCTCTGGCCTCTGCTGCTGCCTTATGATTTGATGATGGGATAATGACACCACAGGCAGCTCAAGCATTCCTCACACAATGTGGGAGATGTGAGCATATGTACAAATTGCATTCCTGTGATTAAAAATGGCAAGCCTTAAAAATGACCTGCAAAGGAAAGAAACATTATGCCCCTTTATTTTAATTCTGTATGCTGCATAAAAACAGCCTGAAAGGATGCCTTTTTGCCCTTATTTTTTCCTTTAGAAATATCAAGTCTCATTTTCCTTGGTTTTTGCTAGAGGTCTTCTTGGAAGACCAGAAAACTGGGGTAGGATCTTTCTAGGCCCTTATTTGAAGGAGTAGAGGGTGACACATCTTGTAACTGAGGTTTTTCTTTCCAATGCCGGGCGTTTGAATCAAATGAGAACCCACCCCATCCCCCCCCAAAAACCCACAGAATTTTAAATAGTCTGACTATAAATTCCCTTTAAGTCACTTTTGTACTGTGCATGTTCTGAGGCATTGCAGGCCCCTGCCCAGCTCCTGGCACCCAGGGGTGTTCTAACTTACATTCTGCTTCCCATGGTCCCTAGTTTGTTGGAGCTGCAGAGCAGCACCTGTGTGCCTGGTACTTCAGCTGGAGGCTTCAATGAGTAGTGGGTGTCACAGGGAAAGTTGTTTTCTTTCATACCATGTCTCATCATCTTCTGCAGCAAGTTCCCTCATCTCTCTTCCAAAGTTTTCCTGTCCTCTACTCCCTCATTCATCTGTCCTTGTCTCCTCCGACGTCCCCACACGCGCTCTCCTTCATGTTGACATTTCGCTCCTCACTATTCCCTTTGTCTGGCTCATTCCCTCCCAACTTCATCCCTTCTTTCACAGCCCCAAGACACCCGGAACAGCTTCCCAAGAATGTGCACTGAGACAGTTCCCTCTTGCCTTTAAAATAAAATACACAATCACTTGTTCTGCAAAGCCTTCCCAACATGACATCCACCCCCCCCGTTCTGCAGACCTGATTCTGAACTCCCATCAGCTCACGTCAGGAGTATCTCCACTGACACCAATGGAGTTACCCCACTGGAAAACGGTTGCACAAAGAGGATCAGGCCCAATGTCTGTTCACTCTCCTGTACCTCTTTTGGCCTTTAAGTGTGCAAGCCCTTCAGGGGTCTTTTTGCTTGTTTAGCAAACGTTGCGCATTGTCTAGCCAGGGCACAGCGATAGTGCTTTATAAATAACAGTGAGATGCAGAGAAGCGGAAGGGAGTGTGTTAGAGAAACTGAGTGCAGTACAGCGGAACAAACATCCTACCTGGTTCTCCCAAGGTATCTGGTCGTACCTCAGAAAGGGGGTAAATGCATCAATTTCTGTTCCCTCCAGGAACTCCAGGCCAGCCCCTTTCCCATGCCCTGATGCTCCGATCTGGATCATCCACACTCCTTTCTCCCCTTAGAACTCTGATCCTGCTCATTTATCATCCCTCCCCAGGGGAGCTGTGATCCAGGGGTTTTCTTCCATCAAAATGCTGCTGCTCTCTTGCTCTCTTTACTCATTCTCCAGTCCCTTGAGCAGGAGCACCGTTATTCTGTGTATTACCAGTGTGTATGGCCCATCTTTTGGAAGAGATGTAAAACGGAGGGCCTGTCTGTCATCATATAGCTGTATTACAGATCCCATGGCACTTTTTATAAGTGTAAAAGCATTAGCCCTGGTGTCCTGTCTAAATTCCAATCACTGTGTAATTTCAGTCTGGCTGCCTACAATTCCTTTGCCGCTTGTTCTGGAGAATCTGCTCTTCACTTGTCCTTCCAGGACCATATTGTGTAGCGTAACTGGTTCAGAAGGGCTGCAGGGCCTCATTTGGGAGGCCCTGCAGAACTCACTCCCGTGAATCATGTGCCCCTCCAAGCTCATGCTGATAAAACCTTGGTACCACACCATACCTTAAATGTATTCTCTGCAGCTGCACACCCCAGAGTGACTGCTCTGCCCTCAATTACAGCCATGCCTCTCCGCTGAGTTTAGTGGGACTGCACAATCAGAATTTGGCCTACTCTGTAAAACACTTGGGGGTCTTGCAGGATAGAAATTGCTGGAGAAACTTAATGTATTTACTGTTTACCCGTACCCTACCCCTCTCTCTCTATCTTGTTTTAATGCTGTCCTTTCCCAGCCTTTTGGGCATTCCTCTGGTTTGTTGGCTTCTGCTTCCTGGCCAACCAGTGGCAAGTTTCAAAGCATGAGAACAACCCGCTGAATGAGGGGGCAGATGCAGCCCGAGCAGCCATCACCTTCTCTTTCTTCTCCATCTTCACCTGGGTGAGTAAAGCCGCCGGGACCCTGATTAGGGCCCTTGGATCAGGGCTCCCCTGCATAGCGGTTTCCACCCCACTTAGGGTTAGCCCAGCCGTCTGTAGATGGAAGGTCCCCTGGCTAGAGCTGACTCCTTCTGCATTTCCAATGGAACAGAAGCTGAAGTGGCTTCTGGGAGAGGACTAGTAGAAGAAATGGAGGAAGAAATGGGTAGGGCATTAGCCTAGGACTCAGGAGAGCTGGGTTCAAGTGCTTGTTCTGCCACAGACTTTCTGTGTGACTTTGGGAAAGCCACTTAACCTCCCTGTGCCTCAGCTCCCCGTCTGTAAAGTGGAGATAATAGCCCTGCCCTACTTCACCGAGGTGTTGTGAGATACTGTAGCAATGGGGACTGTATAAGTACCATACAAAGAGTCTGCTTCTCTTTCCAGGATGTGCTGCTAGCATTCCTGACATCAGGAGGGGCTTCAGCAGCTGTGTTGGGGGAGGGGATGGTTGTTAACATCCTGTAGCACAGCATATGGTCTTCCCCCTCTCTGTATCTGGTTTGCCCCCCTGCTGGCATCCCTAGTTCATTTATTCATTTGGTAGGAAGAAAATGGTAGAATTTGTTTGGACCCTTCCCAGAGCTTCCTTTCCCTTCCCTTTTTATCCCCCAACCCGCATCACGGAGTTTCTCTACTTGTCCAGATTTTGGGGCTCCATTTCAATGTAACCTATTGGGTTTTTTCCATACACAAACAGCCTCCTTGTACTTTCAGTCTTTTATTTCAAATAAAGAGATGGAACAAAACAAGAAAGAACATAAGTAAAGTCTGCACAAGAGAGCACAGTGTGTCTGTCTTTTGCAAGATACTGTGTCACACACACACACACACCCCCGCACAAAATAGCAGCCAACACACTCCTAGGAATGAAAATGTGTGGTATGCAGATGATAAGATCATGCCAGTGGCATAGCTGCCATCCCACTCAACCAGAATCTGCTCTTTTCACTCGATGTTTCTCTGTAGTTCTAGTGCAGATGGGGCTGTCAGTGGAGGTGGGAAATCAGGGGCTGGAAGAGCTGTAGAGGCAGCATCTTCACCCCCTGAGAGATGTGGCAAAGGAGAGCAACACCTGCCACATTCTCCCAAACTTTGTCTGGGTATGTCCGCACTGGAGTGCGAGGTGTAGTTTCCAGCTCAGGCAGACATACCCATGCTAGTTTTGATCAAGCTAGGGTGTTAAAAATAGAAGTGTTGCCATGGCAGGATGGGCTAGCCACCTGAGTAAGTACCTAGGATCCAGGGCAGGGTCATACTCAGAGAGCTGGTCCATCCCACTGCCAGCACCATGACTGCTACATGGCTATTTTTAGCACGCAAGCTCAATCAAAGCTAGCACCTGTACATCCGCTGGAGCTGGAAATGATGCCTCCAGCTCCAGTGCAGAGGTACCCAATGAGTGGCACTGCAGGGCTCTCCCCACAGACCAGGGTTCCTCAGTCACAGGAAGAGAGGGCCATGAGATGAAAGGTCTGAGGAGGGAGGTGTGGGTCCAGCTCCTCTCCCTGTTTGGCTGAAGGAAGGGGAGTCTAATGGTGTCTCTTGGGGTTTTTATTTCAGTCGCGTGACTTTGTTTGGTTGTCTCCCTCATTGACTCTTCTCCTTATCCCCTCCCCCTCTCTCCTCACAGGGCCTCCTGACATTTCTGGCTTTCCGGAGATTCAGACACATTAGCTTTCAGGAAGAATACAACACTCTCTTCCCTAGCTCCCCCGCACCGCTGCCCTAGGGCCATTCCCCAGGGGGGCGCTTAGCGCCATTCCTCCAGGGCCTTGGCGGGGAAGGGGTGTGCATAGGGGAGGAGGTGGTCGGAGTGCAGATGATTCCAACTCCCAGGATCGGGGTGGGGGATGGGGCTGAGAATACAGATGCACGTTGCCATGTCGGTGCAGCTGACATGGTGGGGAGAGAGAGAAGCGATGTGCCTTGGAACTGGGATGGGACGTTAATTGTCCTTTGGGGAGTTGGAAGGAAGTGACCCACCTCTCCTCCTCCACTTTCCCACACCTGACTAATGCTGAATAACACCTGTAAACCTTTCTATTGGAATCTGCTCAGTCTTAATATTTTAGCCAGGCAGGGCTCCCCTCACCACAATCCCTACTTCCCATCTCCACTTCCTCTCACTCCTCTGCCCCTTTCACTCACTATGCTGGGATGGTCCCTGGGTGGCTGGACCCATTCAAACATGTCTGGGACGCTGCAGGAATGCAGTCCTCTGGTCCCTGACCCTCAATAAGCCCCAGCCCCAATGACCTTGTCACACCAAAGAGCATTCCAAAAGCAATGTCAGAGGCAGGGAGCAGGAACAAGGCTGGACCTACTCTAACTGCTCTCCCAGAGGGAAGGCATCTGCTTCCCCTCTCCTCTCCTCCCATCCCCAGCAAGGCCTGTGATTTTTTTTCTTGGCAGCATAGTGGGTCGCTCAGTGGATGACTGGCAGTGAAAGGGTTAATGGGAACAGCCACTGCCTCACGTCCATCTCCTCCCTCCGGTGGATCAGTCTGGAGCCCCAATGGGGTCTAAGATGAAATGGGTCACAGATCCAGCCCAAAGGAGCAAGACCTCTGAGGTGGATGTGAAGCAGATCACCTGGCTGGGGAGGGGACGTTATACATGTATATCTGCAGGCCGTCTATGCCTGCACAGTTTGAACCCCGTCGCTGGGCAGGATGGACCCAGCATACCCCAGCGACTGCTGTGGGCCTGGGCAAAGCAAGTGCAAGCAGCGGGTGGCACACTCACGCATTCTCTCTCTTGTCCTGGGCTCACACTCTCCATGGGGCACACTAACTCTTCTTGCACTTGGGTGTGTTTAACCAGTGATTTCCAGTCATGCCTTGTGCACTAATCCTTAACCACTACTAACTCGGCTTTTGTTTGTCTCTCCTCCTTGGCGTGTTTCCTTCCCTTTCTCTTGCCTTGTTCTCTCTCTGCTTCCCTTCTCCCCTTGTCCTCCCTTAAAGGTGGGCCAGGCGTTTCTGGCATACCAGCGCTACCGGATTGGTGCCGACTCGGCCCTCTTCTCACAGGACTACACGGACCCAAGCCAGGACTCCGGCCTGCCTTACGCCCCCTACACGAACGAGGACGATGCCACAGACACGGTGGGGACGTACCAGCAGCCCCCTCCGGTAGACGCTTTTGACGCTGAGACGCAGGGGTACCAAACACAGAACTACTGAGCTACACTGGTGCCCCTTCCTGTGCCCCTCCCCTCTGCCCCCTTCCCTCTGCCGGTGGGAGGCCGCGGCACAAAACAGACAGGTGTGTCCCAGCACAACAGGTGGCCCTTGGCCATGCTCCAGCCTTCTGGGCCATTTGTTTTTATTTATTGGTGGTTTTTTTTAAGAAAAAAAAAATCCCTAACTGTTCCTCCCTCCTTCTGAATTGTCCACCAGACCCAAACTGTGTATTCCCAAGTCTGTCCCTGTCTTGGCAAAAGCTCCCCTGGCAACCTGGGAGTGAGCAGCAGCTTTGGGCAAGAATCCAGCTCAGTCTTTTGGTGGGCAGGGGAGGGTGACAAGGGCACCAGTGCAGGAAGCAAAGGCCTAAGAGGTGGAGAGGCTCAAGCAGTTCTGGCGGGTGGGGAGAGAAGGTGGCACCTACAGTGTTGGAGCGGATGCGTGTGTGTCTGTGTGTGTGGAAGGGAGAGTTGGAGATGGGGGAGGAGTGTGTGAGGGAGGGAGAGGTCAGAGCAAGCATGCAGGCGTGCAAGTGTGGGGGGTGGGTGGATGTGCAAGCAATGGGGCAGATCACAACCCTTTTGTCCCATGGGGTATTGCCCTCTCAGCAGTACAAGACAGTATGGGAAGTTGTTGGTGCTTTATCTTTAGGGGTGTAGGGAAGAGTGGTATTGAGGGTGGGGGATGGGGGGTTGAAAGAGAAAATGGGGTGGGGTGGAGTTTTGCAGGCACCATCGAAAACTACAAAGACATTGGTAGATTTTAAACCAAGAGAATAATCAGGACTGGACTAGATGGGCTATGCGATGAGAATCCCTCTTTCCCCAGGCGATTGGATTGGAGGTGTTTCCCCATCCCCATGTAAGCACCCTTCTGAGGTTAACACTGCGTTCCTCTAGGGAGAACCAGAACCAAGCTGCATCCTCAGGGTGGGGAAGATGTCTTGAGAGAAACTCCTGAGAACTCCCTTCGGTCCCCTGCTCCTTCCGCTTAGGGATCACAACTGGCTTAGCACGGGATGAGGAGGAAGGCACTGGGCTGATTTGGGGAAAAGCCAGCTTCACACCAGCTGAAGGGGAACTTTGCCAGCCATCTCTGGTAGCGCTGTGGCTTTTGCCCAGAATAAAGGTGCAGGACGAAAATGGGTGAATTTTCATTTCTATAGTCCTGTTGAATCCACATCCCTGGTGGAGTTAGAGAGATTCCACCCTCTCTGTGCTCCTAGACCAGGGGTTGGCAACCTACGGCATGTGTGCCAAACAGGGCAGGTGAGCCGATTTTGAGTGGCACGCTGCTGCCCACTGAGAGGAGGAGGGGCCGGAATGCACCAAGCTGGGGGAAAAAGGAGGAGGAGGGAAGCTTGGCCTGCCGCAGGCCCAAGCTTCTGCCTCCTGCCCCTGCAGGGGAGAACAGTGCGGGGGG